AAAAATTGTATCAAATTAAATGTATCCACTTATTTTAAAAGCATTTTCATAGTTTTAATTTCATATTACTAAATGGTTTCTTTGTAATGCATCTTCTATTAATAAACATACTCAATTTTTTCCTTTTTAATAATGAATCCATATTTTAATTTTCACTTATTTTTATAAAACACATTTCAATCTGAACAGACTAATTATGTAAAAGGTTAACTGAATAAGAGAATGGCTGGTAATACATAAAGAGTTAAAAAGCTTAATTTGGTCCATTTTAAGTTGAGATACATGACTTTATGCATTCAAATTTTCAAAAAAAAATATATTAAACTCAAAACTTGATTTAAATAAACAAAAACTGGCCACCATAATCATTATTTAAAAACCTTATAAATATATAAATCTGTCCTAATAGTAAAATCCATTTTATTTTTGAAATGGGCAATACTTTTTAATGTTTGTTGCCTAAATTACAATATAAAACAAATAACAGATTAGCTATTGATTAAAAAAAATTTTTTAAATAAACTGACAGAGCAAAAAACATTATTTTTTATGAATTCTAAACTTCTAGCAAATCCAAATTTAAATTTTAATTTGTAAAAATCACTATTATGATACACAAGATATAGTACTTATCAGTTACAAAAGTACTAATAACCCTGAGAAACTGAATTCAATTTAAAGATAATCCTAGATTTGCAGTGACTCACTTTTACAACATCCAAAAGCTAAAATTAAAAATCATCTTCTCCCCCCCCCCAATAATTTTCGCATACAATTTTCTGGTTTCATTAAATTTGCTTAATAACTGGAAAAACTGTCTACACTCCTATTATCAGATTATATGAAGGCTGTTATAATATTATATAAATTATTAAATGAACATATTAATCAAGTTATGTGAATCAAAGCACCAGTTTAGCTTTTCTTTAGATATAACACTGGATTTGAATAATTTTTTAACAGATACATTTTTAGAACAGATTTTAATTTTTAAAAATTCCCTTTTTTAAAATATATACATAGTGTTTATAAATGGTGTGGCTTTAAAAATCAATAATAAATCAACGTATTACTTTATATGGGCAAACCTTACAGCATAAGTAGTGGCAACTGTTGATGTTTTTGATGCATTAATCACAATCCCTCCCCTCTTGGTCACATGACACGCTATTCAAATTCTTCCCATACTCAGTGTAGCATGTCCACCGAGCATGCTCTATACAGCTACAAACTTCCTCAAGGGACATGGGCATTGGCGGTACATAAACTTGGTTTTTAACAAACTCCCAAAGAAAGAAATCATATGGAGTTAAACCCAGTGAATGGGGTGGTCAGGGAAGAAGTTGCCTACTGTTGCAGTACGTCCAATCCAGCATTGGTGAAAAACATGATTACGAAGCTCTAGTACATTCTTGTGAAAATGGGGTAAAATGCCATCCAGTAGCAAAATGCAATCGTCACAATTAGGTTCAGCTAGGGTAACAACCAGGTTCCCAACATGTATAGAAATGTGTCACCAATCATAGTGTCTTGTTCGAAGAAAAATGGGCCATACACCTTCTCGCGGGATATCGAACAGAAAATGTGTGAAACTCGCGCTGAACTCAAACCATAGACATGGACACCTCAAAACAGAGTACAAAGAAAGCTTTTCCCTGTTGCAGACCATAGACTCAACTGATGCTGTGGTTGCATAGTAAGCATGACAAGCAAACAGCAGGTAGCACGTAAGAAACTTGGACAGTTGCCAACGCTTACAGTGTATGTTTTATTATTAATTTTTAAAATTCATTTATAAACACCTTGCAGCCTAATTCAACCACAAAACAACAGATCTTTATGCAGTATGGGAGCAAATATTTTAAATAAAGGGATCCAAATTCAATCCAGACTTTAAAAAAAAAAAAAAAAAAAAAATGGGGGGAGGAGACAATATAGATGCAATAGAAATTAAACTAAGGTGGTTTTTGAGTGGAACAGAAAATGTATGTATTACATCAGAAATGTTTAATATAATACAGAATTTGATAAAAGTTAGAAATAATTTAGAAGTTGATTCAATTTTCAAATTAATGAAAAACTTTTGCAGTTGGAAGCTAAAGAAATTTTAATAAATCTGATGGCAGTCACAACTTAGAAAACAACGTTACTTTTAGTAAATTTCAAGAATCCGTAAAATTTGAGGACAACAGATATACAGCTAACTTGCTGTGGAATGAACATGTAGGAGAATTATGGGATACCTCTGAGGAAGCACTGTTACTGTTGTGCACATTTAAGAATCATCTGAAATTTGATGACCATTGAAAAGTAATGACTACCCATTTACAAGAAGATTTCACAGAAGAATCAGAGTATTTGAGAAACTGAAAAAGAGTACTTTTTACTGCACCAAGCTGTAAATCAGAGAAAACAAATAAAGCACAAAATGTTGCATTGTCTTAGATGTATTATCACACGCTGAAGGCATACAGTCATTTTATTACTGTTTAGAATCAGACATCTCTTTCCATTTGAAAACTGTTTCACTGTTTTTAAAATGTTGTAAATATGTAGTTGTGGCTTTTGGAAAATCTATTTGCAGTTCTCGGTTTCCCTCGGTTCCTCGGTTACATGTGGTTCTTACTGACATAAAGTCTAGCCATGCCTGATATATACACAGCATCAGAAGTCAATTGCATTAATTAAATAAAGTTCAACAAATTAACAAAAAAGTGGGTGCAAACTTTTTTCAATAAGCTTCATGATCAAAAAATTATAAACACTTATTGCAAAATCAACCAATAAACTGTAATGATTGTCCAACAAGTAAAGCATAATACATAATGAATTCAGATGAAAAAGCTTATCACAATGTTATCAGGTAGTGAAACATTTTAATTTGTCATTAATTTCAAAGAATAAAACCTTTTAGAAAAATAGAATGTGTAATTAACATAAATTACAATACCTCAAATATAACAATTTAAAATATACTCATGAGGGGTGATAGTACTCATCCAGATGAGCCATAATTACCATAGAACATAGGGTTGCATTCCACTCTGAGAGGCAGAAAAGAGGAATATTAGAATTTCAACCTGAACTTACAACAGTATTGGGAAAGCAAATGAACGAGACCAAAAGTTGCACAATCAGTTTAGTGTAAAACTCAGAGAGAGTGCACAAAACAGATAAACCCGAAAACTTGGCTTTCGAGTGTTAATTCGAGCTCAGACTTTGATGGCAAACACTCAAATGCACATCTTTGATTGGGAAGTTTTCAACCTCGCAAACAATTGCAACAAGTTAATTATCTAAATTATTAGGGGGAAATTATCTATTAGGGGGGAAAAACTATTACCTTGATATCAAGTATCATGGTAGTAGTTTTTTTCCCTTTTGCCATCTTCTATCCTGTCCTCGTGGACTTACTGTGGTGCGCTCATTCTACTTGAAGTGCTCTTCTACGAGACACGAAGTTCTGACGGCCGGAACACAGCATGAACTTTTCATGCTATTCTCGGAATACAGCGCAAGTTGGTGTTAGTTGATAATATTCAGCCCTTGATTAGATAATTAACTTGTTGCGATCTAATGCGAGATTGAGACCTTGCCAACCAAAGATGTGCACGAGTGTTTGCCATCAACAAGTCTGAGCTCAAAATTAACAATGGAAAGCCAAGTTTTCGGGTTTATCTACTTTGTGCACTCTCTCTGAGTTTTTCACTAAACCAATTGTGCAACTTTTTGTCTCGTTCATTAGCTCTCCCAACACTTTTGTAAGTTCAGGTTGAAATTTTAAATATTCCTCTTTTCTGCCTCTCAGAGTGGAATGCGACTCTATGTTCTATGGTAATTATTGCTCATCTGGATGAGTACTATCACTCCTTTTAATGTATAAAAACAATTTAAAATTAACCTGTATATATATTCAGACAAATCAATTTTCTAAATAGATACTATAAATCTTTAATCTTGATGGAAACTGATACATTAAGCATGGTTTAAAGTTACAACAACAATACACTGTGCATTTTAAACTACAACTATTAAAAAAGAAAATTCTGAAACTGTTACTTTTTCTTCATGAAATGCTACATTTAATCAATCTCTTAACACTTTAAAATCTTAAAGATGAATATTTTCATTTTATAAATATCACATCTCAACAGACTAAATAAATAAATTCACTTTAAAATAAGCTGAATTAAATATGAAAATTCTTTATACAGTTAATTCATAACAGAAAGAATTCCAAAACAACATAAGGTTAAATATTATGTTCCTTTTCCCAGGTTTCCTTGATTGGAAAATAAATATCACAATGCAAAACAAATGCATTAATAAAATCATTTCTAATAATTAACAGAAAAGCATTGATTACAAAATTTCAATGCATAAATTACAATTTTGCTCCATTTAAATGCAACTAAATTTTTAAGAAATTCAAATAAAATTTCTGAACCAATAAGGTCTGAGAATTATAAAAAGCACAGTTAAAATATGAATGTAATTCTAAACAATGCACATAGACTGAACACAAGTGTAAATTTAAAACATCAGTATAATTCATTATGGTAACAAATTTTGGTACTTACGTATTATCGCAACCAGGTTGGTGCTATTTGTAAGTTTGAGTAAAAAAGTATGAATAGAAAGAAAATGTACATTTATTAATTACAGATAATTTTTAATACAGTTTTTTATATTATTTTGTTTTAAAATATAAAATAGCAATTAAACCCTTCCGGTTTCGAATTTGAATAAGTTGCAGAATTTTTTTTTTGGCGGAAATTTTTTGGCTATTGCTTTTAGCACTGATTGAAAACCATATTCGCCATAACCATGTACCCGTCGACTTATTTTTACTTAAAAAAACATCCCAGAATTGCACAAAAATGGCATTGCGCACACTCTTGACTTTATCCATGTACACTGCTATTTTCTCATAAATTACAAAAATTTGAACGAAAATACAGGAAAATTTTGTGAATCTCCACATGCTCTTTTTACAAAACTACGTATAACACGTAAGGTTGCCGTAAGTAGGGTCGCCAAATTTCGCAATTTATGCGAATTTTGGCCTGATTGCGTTAATACGTAAGTACCAAAATTTTATAATAAAAAAAAAAAGACAATGAATTTTACAGATTTTCACAACATTTCTAGAAAGTAATACTGCACCTAACATAATTCCTCATGGGCAAGATCATATAAAATTTCATATTGTTGGAAGAAATTCATTAACATTTCGCTAATATAAATAGGCTCAAGTGTTTAAAACAGTTTAAGTTTATAAAATAAGAAAACTTTTAAATAGATCATGAAAAACATTTACATGTATAAAAATATTACACACATGCACAGTATTTTCTTAAAACGAAGTTTTTCCTCGCTTATATGTATTCATTATGTAAAATGTTGTGACTAGAATGTTCAAAAAGATGAATCATATATATTTATTTTTAATTTTCAATTTTAAAAAAATTAATTTTACAGTAATTTTAATTCTCAACACAACACAAAAAAACTAAACACAATGCAAATAGAGTTCTTTAATATGCTTGAAAAAGAAAAGTGCTAGAATACTAAACTTTTTCTTTACTTAAATGTTGAAATTCATAATTCGTAACTCAAAAAGGGATTGTTCGACCCGCAATGATGTGCATACAAAAATTGCAGATTAAAAATCTACTCAACGATCCCTTAAGCAAAGGATATTAAAGGAAAATTATCCTTTTAAATGCAAATCAAACACAGCCTAATTTTGTTTCTTTATGACATATCAGTAATATACTGATGCTAAATGACAATCGATAAAATCTGTTTTTGCATTTCAACACCAAAATATCACACATTTAACATATTAGTTATTGTTTCTAATATGAATTAAAATGCTAATTTCAATTTTATTTCAATTTAAACGTTACACACAAAACCATAATTCAATTAGTTTACACTAAAATATAAATTTATACACTATGTAAATACTGGTATCCAGAAAACCTAACAAATTAAATAACAGTTGGGATAATAAAATACTGATGTCTGCTTTTTCTTGCTGTTATAATCAAACTGCATTAACAAGATTTAAAACCAACTTAAGTTAAAAAGTAATGAAAATTTACTTTAGGCAGTACATTACAAGAAAAATTCTATATCATTTTAGTTGAAAAACTTGCTACTTATGTACTACTTATATCTTTTAATTACATTCAGATAAGAGAAAGTAATTGAGTAGTAGGCACAGCTTGATTCAAAAATTAAAATACACATAATTATGTATGATGGTAAAACAGAGTAGTTTATACCTTTAAATACTGACTCCAGATATATGTTTCCAACAACAAAATTTTTCCAAAGTAAGGTAAAGAATTTTACGAAAATTATTTTAGCCTTAGAAGATAGGAAAGTTCTCTAAATAAAAAATATAATTTTTATATGATTCCCATAAAAGGAAAAGTTCAATTAACAAAATATCCATTATGTTTTGATAAGATAAATATAAAAAGTTTCACATCTTTATGTTCTAAATTTGTAGACATACTTGGAATTAACAATTTTAAAGGTTAAGTGTTAAATAAATAATTAGTGCTGTTTTATTCAATACGGAATTATTAACAGTTAAATTATATTTATTTTATAATTCCCCAATGAATCCAGTGAAAATTTGACAAACCATTTAACAGTACGCATTGGAAAAAGTATTATTATTTTTTTTTTCACCTAATACCTCCATTAATGTTGCAGAATTTTTTGCGTTTGACCTACAAAAGTATTATAAATATTTTACTAATTGGAATTTATACTTTGCTGGTACTATATAAAAAGTATGAAGAACCATCCCATCCTAAAAAACTGTATTCATAAAATTTCCTAATCTTGAAACATTCTGTAATTATCTAGCAAATATCTAGCATAAGGAGATACAGCTCGTGGCCATCTTTTTCAAACATACTACATATAAAGACATTATTATTACATATATTGCTTGAATGCTAAAAATCTATACAAACTCATTTTATTATGCTATACAGATACTGATTCTGCCTATGAATCTGAATATGAAGCAACTCTGTAATAATCAGTTGAAGTTGATCAGCAGCACCTTTCAAACAATTTATCATTTTTGTACTTGTACCCAATTGTGGTAATTTCAAACTTTTCAATTTTATTACATATAAATTAATCCAGCTGATAACTAAAAAAAGGCCTCGGATTTTGAACGAGTATTATGGATTTAATATTTATATATTCAAACGATTATTTAATTTTGACTATTGCTAAAAAATACAGACTTTTCTCAATATTTCATTATTTCTGCCAATTCCATATAGAATGAAATCCTGTTCTCAGTTACTATATTTTATGTAATAATTAGGAAACTCCAGAACTACTTACTAAGGTGCATTATAAATTTCACAGTTGCAACCAAAATTTCATGCATTTTTAACCATTTTATTTATCATAGTTTTAAGACTTGATGTGCGATTTACTCAAAGCTAATGTCAATATTTTCAGCAATTTGAAAGCAAATGATGATCCTGATTAAGCATAGATGACCACAACACCTAATCTATTATCTTAAATATTACTCCCCTCTTTGATCTTTCTTTGTCCTCAGTCTAAAATTAGTAATGTCTTTTTAAACTGTCTTAACTTCAAAGATTTGCCTCATGAGTAACTTTATTACTAAAAGAGGGATTTCTGAACATAACAACAAAAATTCTAACAGAAGGTGAACCCATTTGAGGAAATAAACATGATTTTCCAAAAGAGCTTAAATTTTTAGCATTCACTTGATAAAAATGCTTGAAAAATAATAAGTCTACTGAAATTTCTTTTTCAAAATCTGAAATTCAAGCTAGGAAGCAAAGAATGCTTAAAAAGTCTCATGCTAAGCTTAGAAACATTTTACAAAAGAAAGTTTCAGGTGAATTATTTTGTTTTTTTAGTTATTCAAATCAATATATAACAAAATAATTCTCTAACTTCTTATTTCACTAAATATGACACTTTTAAAAAACGTTCTTATCTTTGCTATTGTTACTCATTTTACCACACTGAAGATCCCAGAATCAAACTTGCACCATCCTGTGCTATGTCTGTATTTCATTTCTTCAAAACATATTATTTAAGATGTATGAATTTGATCCGCACTTTTAAAAATTATCTTCATAATATTATTACCCCCCCCCCTTTTTTTTTTTTTTCTGAAGAAGAGAAACTTATGTCTAATTGTCTAATAATCCTGAAATTAATAACAGCTTCATTCAAAATCTACACCAATGCAAGGTTGCTTTTCTGCCTCATTTCAAAACTATTATCCCTTGTTTCTATAATATTTTAAATTTCTTACTAAATAAACTATATGATGTACTTGCTAATAGCATATTCACATAATGCAATAATAATAACAGAAATTTGGAAACTTCTAACATTTAATTTTACTCTCTTAGAAATTAATATATGGATTTTTCAAAATACAACTAAAAAATCTGCAGCTTCATAAAGCAACGCGTCAATAATGAACATCAGAAAAAAAATTATTCAAAAACATAACTTCTGACAAGTCTATATTTTATAAAACCAAACCCAAAGATTTTCATCTGTGAATATAAATATCTATATTACTTTCACATAATTATATTACTTTCACATTATATAATTTTCAATTCAAAGATATCTGAACAATCAACTTTTTTGTTTAATAAAATTATTTTGCCCTTATTTATCTTCTATAAGAAGTCTTTTCCAATATACATGAATTATTTGTGAGTAATAAAATCTTCTGTTAATAATTCAATACAGGCAAATTTGCCACTTTTCAGTATTTATATATATTTAAATTTAAAATGAAAGTGTCAGAGAAATACACAAATCGTTTAAAAATAATGTCCAAAAAAATGGGAAGCCTACTATTAGTTTACATTTAAGGAAATAGAGTGCTATAATGCCTAATAATGAATTCATGAATACTAATAATTCTTTCCTTATAACATTCAATATATATATAACAATCATTTTTAAGGGAATCAATACAATATTCAAAGAGTATAACAACTGTTGCAGGAAGTTTACACTCTACCGTGTTTTACACAACCAGTAATCACAAATCCAGACAAAATGGTCTCTTAAAATATTTCAGTGGGTCAACAATGCTCTAAAAATCTTGCAAGCATAGATGAACTGTGCAATATACATTCACACAGGAAATACACATGGCAAATCATATCCATGAAAACACTGCATGACTGAAATTAAAAACCTTACGCATGAGCATAAATAATATGACTGTTGCATTGCAACTTTAAATAGAATTCTCAGCCAGCAAGTAAGTGACATATCAATTCCTGACTACAAACAAACCTCTCACAAGACATGAGACTTCATCCAACAATAATTAATAAAAGCAGCAACAATATAGTATGAAGAATCACACAACTCACCGGCATCAAACACTTTTATGCTGCATTATGGCATTCCACTCATCGACATTAAGGAAGGATGCCACAGAAGCTGCAGCTTTCCAGACATTACTTTTACAGATTCATCTTCCAAGAGATAGAGAGATGCCTTTACTAAGCTTTGGACTCACATTCACGGGCTATATGCCCCATTTCCCCACAGGAGTAGCACTTGTTACCACGTGTAGAATTGCAGTTCCGTGCGATATGGCCTTTCTCATTGCACCTGAAATATTTATTACTACAGATGAGAATAAAACATGCAAAATTATATTAAAAAAATATTTATGCATTTTGTTGTTGATAAAAAATTAACAAAGATCCCAGCAAATTTGCACTAAACATTACGAAGAAAGTTTGAAGAAACAAATCATTCTTTATTTAGTTAAGTAAGCAACAGACACAAGATTTTAAAAAAAAAAAAAAAAATAATAATGTTACTTTCTGATTATACACAGTTTGAAGGAACAAATAATTCTTCCTTTAATTACGTAACCAAGAGATACAAAAAAAAATTTTTTTTAAGTTAATTTTTGATTATACACACACTTATCTGAAAAGTTGCCATCTTTCACTAAGCTAATATGCGAAAGGCAACACACTTTTGAAAATGGCGGGACACTAAGAAATGCATAAAACAGCAATAAAATCAATAACTAAAGCTTAGAAAACAAGAAATATTTGTAATAAAATATTTAGCTTTTTTTAAGAAACTTTTATGTAATTTTTTCCCCCTCCAGTGTTGTTCTCCCCATCTCCTTTTCTTTTTTCCATTACCCAGCAAACTCCACTGTCCAATACAATTCCTTACAAGAGGGGGAAAGACTCATTGTAAAAATAAATACTAATCAGAAAAAATCCCCATCGAATTTGAAAGCTCAAATACACACTCATGTGCTCTTAAAGAATACACATATTTTGGTAATGTCATGGATTGCCAGTTTTGGTGATATAATGCATTGCCTTGTGAATACTTTTCAGGTGGTTAATAAAAACTTAAAAAGCCTACATATACATACTAGTTATAATTGTGGGAAAATCATAAAATGATGATTACTCAAAAAGTTACACGTAGAATTTAATGAAACTGACCCACAGTATACAACACTTAAGCCTCGTTCACAAGAGCAGATTCGACCGGTAGCGAAAACCGGTTCTTCCAACGTGTCCCGTTCACATGGCACAAGCATTAACTGCCTCGCCGAATTGAAGGTAGAACTTGGTTGAATGTTTCCTACCTTTCGGGAGCAGGGCAAATGGGGAGATTTCCCGTACTATACTGCGCGGTTCACTTAATTTTAGTTACTGCTCGCTGGACTGTCAGCGACACAATCGCGCTGATAGATGTCTGGGGATGTGATAGCATCCCCCCTCCAAATTAGATAGAACTGTACAAGATACGGAAATTGTAGACAAATACAGACAAGGTTATCTGATGCTAGGTATTCCAGAAATATCGTTCAAATTAAAACTAAAGTTAAGACAAGTGCATATCGGCTTCAACGCAAAAAGGGACTCGGTCGGTACCTTTTGAATGTTTTTTTTTTTTTTTTTTTTTTTTTTTTTTTTTTAATTTAAGCATTTTCATCTACTTTTTATGAATATTACTAAATGGTTTTGCAAGACAAAATAATTTTAAGCTGAAAAAAAGTTTTTGCTAGCATTTTTTTTTTAATTTAAATTTTTGAAAAAAAATTTTACAATTAAAATGTCTTTCTCCTCCTACAATTTTCAATGTCTCCCCCCAGTTTTTTTATTGTATTTATTAGAGTGTTCTTAATAACTTCAAAGGAAGGATTTGCAATTAATGAATTAGTTTCTGAGAAAAAAAATACACTTTTATCTAAAATCTTTAAAACAATATGATCTCAGTCACATTTTCATTTCAAATAATTTTTCCGAAAGTATTTTGCAAAATTCATCCTTGTTTCTATAAATTATAATTTTATATAAACAGTAAAAATAATAAAAAATTTAGTCCATACCTGTATATGTTTTAGGAGTAAAGGATTTATTGAAAAAAGTGGAAAAGGTTTCTCAGTTTGCATTTGCAGTTTAAAGAATACAAACTGTCTAATAGACATTTAATCATTTCAAATCTTTAAATTTTATTACTGAATTTCAATATACACATATGTATATAAATCAAACCTAGTGCTATTTATTCAATTGGTAAATATAAACATAAATTACAATCTTTTTTTTAAAACTTATGTGGCCAGACAAATTGCAAAAACTCATAAAAACGCAAACAGAATTTTTCTTACCTGTTTTTTTTGTAAAACACGTTCAAAACAATTTTAATACATTACTTATTAATTATAATATTGCTGCGTGCGTACGGGTTTGTAATAGATTGATATAGTTTTCGTAAAATGATGGTCATTGCACTCAAATCCGATGATAGCTTAATTAAGTTTATTTATCAACATAAACACTTCAAAGTTCTGGAATTTTCCACAGAAATATTCATACAAGTGTTTAGCATATCACTAAGTAAATCAGTAGTAGTTATGCTTCAATCTAATAAACGTTAAACACAACGGAATGCAAAACGAATCTTAAGAGAAAATAACTCAAAAATATCTCCAATCTCACGCTGAACTAACAACTGGTAACAATAACAACTTATATAGCGTAAATAATGTCATAAAAATAGTGTGGTATAATGAAATTATTACTTTGAAAAAATGTTTCGAATTGATGCCCAAGAAGAACCAGTATATTTCCATTCTGCTTCATTGCATATCTTTCAAAAAAGTACAAAATCATCCAATTAATTTCCTTTAAAACATTTTTTTTTTTTAAATGCGAAAAGTGTTGTTTTTGTAAGCTGTGAAAAAGTCGGAAGTTTGTAACCGATATATATATTTTTAAAATTAATGGGTGTCAAAAGTCTAAAAATGAACGATTTCAAAAAAAATGAAGAAAAAAGATTTACGTGTGTTATGGTCAAAAATGTTCTCAAAAATATTTAAATTTGAAAAAAAAAAAAAAGCTAAAAAATTTACAAGTGTATGTACAAAGTTTTTGAGTTTCTATATCTATCGGGAAGCAGTTTAAAAAAAATTTACCATCTTTAAAATCCATAGCGACAAGCAACCAAGAGTGAACTAAATAACAGCTTATAAAAATAATAATAATAATTAAAAGCATATATTTTTCAGGAACCATTACGAAAGTTCAGGTACCAGTTGCAAAAGTACAGATTACAAAATTAAACAGTAAAACCACGTTAAAAATGTGTAAACAGTATTAGAAATCTGCCAATTCGGAGACGTGATTGTTTTCAGAGAGGCTTTAGGTGTAAAGGGGAAGGAAGGCGGTGGTCTTCTGAACGGGTCCTAAAGACGAAACTCTTTCATGTCTCCTTTTTCTCCCCTTGCTAACGGCAGCTGTGCGAAGGAGCGTTGCATGTGAACGGGGCTATAGTAAAGTATAAAATAACATGAAAAGAAATAACCAGACAATTATGGGTGTTATAGAAATTAGTATATGCATAAAATGAACAAATTGGATGGTTTGGTATAAAAAATACCTTCAGTGTGAAGTGTAATCTCCACTAAAAGCAATATAGCACATAAGGGATGTGTGACGCTGTCAATTATGTGGTCTATCAGTTCTATAGGAAGTGAGAGCTTGCAAAACATTTGCAAGCATGTCATGAATCTAAAAAGGAGGATTGAGAACAACTGTATGTCTTCCTAAAGCATCCCAAACACGCTCAATAGAATTCAGATCTGGTGATCATTACATGCACTGAATCGATTGCTGCTGAAGATAATCATCCACAATGCAAGCCCTGTGCGGTCTATCTCTGTTATCCTGTAGCAGGAAATTATCATCTATTGCCCTGGCATAAAGGCACACATAAGCATCAAGGATGTCATCTCTACAACCATGAGCATTCATAGTTCATGGAGGTCTATACATCGACCCAAAAATATACCACCTCAAACACAGACACTGCCTCCTCCGTATGAATCTCTTTCACAGATGTTTATTGGATGATAATGGATTACAGATTCTCTCCAAATCAAATGATGCCTACTATCGCTCTGGAAGCTAAACCTGGATTCATACGTAGAGAGCAGCCCTCTGATAAGATGTCCAGTGGACTTGTTGATATGCCTACCTCAAACATTCCCTTCTATGCCATGATGTGAGCAGCATGCAAATGGCTGGCAACTTCCAGTGGCTGCAGCAAGGAAGGATCTGAGTTAAAGTTCTATTCCTTCGTGTGCATAACAACAAATATTGGTTATTAATGCTCGTAGTAGCAGTTTGCCATCCTTGGCTGAATCTCCTGGGTGCAGAATCTGTAGTTAGAAATTCTTGCCAAAGTCTATGAACCACAGAAGGACTCACAATTAGCAATCTGGCCACTTCTGTCTTTGTTCTGCCTCTAGTCTCCTAATAGCTCTCCATCAGAGTGCTTCGGGTAAATGATGCCTGGAGGTCATTATTATAAACTGGCTAACCCAGATTTCTTATCTCAGTATTACAGCAAAACTCAGAGGCTTGCTCTGAAATATGCAATTTTATGCTTCTTGCAGATGATGTATTTCCTCCTGCAGTGCCATAATTTGTATACTGCAGTTATATTCAGCAATTCTTATTTGATAACATATTCAAATTTTATATGGATTGTCTTATATTTTAATGACTCTTATATTTTAATGATTGTCATTTTTGCAATTTTCCCTTAATTTGTGGAAATTAGTCTATGCACCCTTTGACGGGCAGTAGGAAGTCAGGCCTCCTGCCTTTTTAATCAGTTTTTATCTCCCAGATGAAAGCTGCAAAATTCCATTTAAAATACATACAATTATACCTTTTAGTTTTCTAAAAGTATAACAGATGGCAGCACAAGTATTCATTCATGGAAATAATGTAAAATAAAAATTCTTTGCAGGTCTATTTTTTTTTTTTTTTAATTTAAATCATTTGAACAACAATTTTTGGTGTTAGAATGAATATTTTTATCTGAAAGTTTCCTTTTCTAATAAAAATTATTATTTGAATTCCTATACCGTCTTTTCCCAAAAATAAGACACTGTCTTACTTTCTTTTTTGGTCCAAAATACGCACTAGGGCTTATTTTCAGGAAGGGCAAAAATAAAGTCTATTATAAATTTTATTTAAGATTTTACACAGAATACAGAAATTTAAATTTATTCAATTACATTCATGTCATCTTCTTATGGAACATCGTCATAAATAAAA